AATTGAAAATGCAAGTTCTTATTAAAGAAGAAGATTGCTTACGCTAGAAATTACTCTATTTGCAGTGAGAAAAAATTATTTCCTGCTGATGCCAAGTCTTGTGTAACTCAATATGTATTTTGTTTATAATTTGAAACATGTACATTGTGTGTCAATTTATTGCATACATATATATTGCATACATATTATTGTATTATTTAAGGGCGAATGTAAGAAGAACATAAATTATAAATATATCTTGCGCATTGGCTACTCATTAAAATAAGTCGATATTTGATCGTTCGGAATATATTCGGAATATATTCGGTATATTATATTATTTCTCGTTCAACATTTACCGTTTAACATTTATGCAGATACGTATCAAAGCCCGTGAACATAGCGGGCATGAGAGTTTCAGTTTCATATAAGCGCGGTATTATTAGAAATTTCAACAGCGTGGCAGACGAGCGTTTTCCGAAGTATCAGTAGAATAATTTTATCCGATGGGAACAGTGCAGAAGCTGCCACGGAGGTAGGGCTCTCTTTCGAAAACAATCTTGATATTAAATACATAGGAGCGGTCTTAGATAACGAGAAAATTAATTATTTAAAAAAAAAAACTCGTACCTTATTCCATCACTTGATTTCGCCACTTGATATAATTGTTACACTTCGCGTAACTTAATAGGCACGATGCATCAAGGAAGTGGATGCAGGTGTTTCTGTATAACGACTGAGAACCAGCGATATATATGTATTATTTTCTTAATGTATAAGCCCAGAGAGAGACACGTGTCTTGAATCAATGCCAACGGCGCGCAGTAAATCTGTGCGAGTCGAACGAGAAGTCTTCGTCGTAAAAGCGCAAGCAGATGATTTAGAAAGAGTTGCACTTTCAACTTTCTTTGAGCAATAATTTAGTTGTTCTTATTAATATTAATTTCTTTGTTTGTGTCGCGCGCAAGAAGAGAAAGAAAGAAGGAGAGAGTTTAGAGAGAAAGGGGGGGAGAGAGGGGAGAGAGAGAGAGAGAGAGAGAGAGAGAGAGAGAGAGAGAGAGAATGAATAATAAACTAGAATGCATAAGGTAGGAAATATAGGACGGATAACTCGCGCGGTAAGGATAATAAACGATCCTGTAAATCATCTCGTTAAGGGCTAATGACTGGCTTGGTACGCGCTAGGTTGGTCTTTTCGACTCATGCTGTCATTCATTGGGAAAGGCGTGCAAATCGGAAACGAGTCTACTGGGCTCATTTTCGGTTATAAGCACGGACGATTTAATTATACTCGCGAAAACGTAGCCTGCCGACTGATCGATTTTTTTCTGTAAACGCACTTATTCGGCCTGACGGTTTGTTTTCACAGAAAAATCGACATCTCGAGTTTTAGAGAATGTGTATCGATTGGTTGATATGATTTAGTAGTTTACGATATTCTTTTAATTCGCAGCAAAATCTCAATTTTGAATGTAGATCGTTTCAGAAAAGCACGTCTTTTAGATGTGGATGCAACTGTTATGCCAGATATGGAGCATCTGTAATAAATATATCAAGGTATTGATACAATTTTAGAAATATTGACCGTTTTGTTCGAAGAATATATAAGTTTATAATTTATAGTAACACTTGAGGTGCATGTGTGTGTGTGTGTGTGTGTGTGTGTGTGTGTGTGTGTGTCTGTGTGTGTGTGTGTATATTTAAACACTTATCTCTTTCTGTTATCTGTAGGTGTCTATTAGATCAACGCACATATAAAAGATGCACAGATAAATGATACATTAGATCTATTAGATCATTAGATCATTAGATCTATTAGATCAACGCACATATAAAAGATTAATAAAAAAATAAAACATAATAGTTTTTTTGTATTTATAATATTGTGTATATATATATATATATATATATATATATATATATATATACCTCAACTTTGTCTCAAATTGATATTTATTACTTAGATAATGAGATAAATGTATAGAGATGAATCTTGTGCGACAAATAGTAAGTTTATAAATAGTCTCCTTAATACGCTATGAAAAATATATACGATAATAAATCCTATAACCACTTAAATAATATTTAATTTTATTTCGATAGAATTTCAATTCGAAAGAAATTTACAGAGATGCATGGAGACAAAACTACTGTTTCCTTTTTATATAAATTTTTTTAAATTTTACTATATTTCGAGTAGTACAGGAATAGTCAAGAATTGTCAGTAAAAGTCTACCTTGCTAAAGAGCATAGCAAATAGTAAATTCCGCCAAAATCGTAGCAAATTTTTTAATAGTATATTTTGATTCCTAAAATATAAGTAGCACGTATGAAATGAAAGAATAGAGGCAATTATTTCAGAGAATGTCGATCTATTCCTCGGTTACAAAATCTTACACAGTAATTTTTATTATAAAATTTTATCTCTGTGTAGGCGGAAAGATTGCGAAAGAATGTAATACGAAGTTATCTAGATGATAATATTTGGTTGGAATTTGTCTCTCTCTCTCTCTCTCTCTCTCTCTCTCTCTCTTTCTCTTTCTCTCTCTCTTTCTCTTTCTCTCTCTCCATATCCCATTTGCGTTGATATATTATTGAATTGGCAATTTAGATTTGTTTGGCTGAGTTTAAAAGCGTTTATATGCTCACGGGAATGTCGAATTGCGCATCCACGTCAACTTTTGTTTGCGTGTCGTGTAATTAAATTGATCGCGCATGTCGACCTATTAATTGTTTGATACAATTGCTGTTTAACATATGAATTTTGGACGTATTCGGAAAACTTCTATATCTGTGATGTGCGCGATCTGCTATCTGTACTAGTACCTGTGCGCCCGATTATAATTATGAATGTCGATTCGCACGGGATAGGATTGATTAGGGGTGGACGATTTGTGAAATTATTGTATATTACCAGAATGACGATCCACCGCTAATGCAGGGTCTTCTAACTGATTGCGGGACCTCGCGGTATATTCGTTATTAGAGCGAGGCTTCGCGGGATTTATCGGCAGCGCGTGGACGTTCGAACGACCCTCGCGGTAATTCTTCCCGGGACAAAGAGAAGCCGCGGCAATTTTTCCCACCGCCTAATCATCCAAGTCCGTCGACACGTTTCGGTGATAAATTATGGCGGGTGGGCGCCCACGCTCAAAGACACGCTTCGTCTTTGTTATCCGAGGGCGAAGTAGCAGTGCTTGAAAGAAAACGGCTCGCGCCGCCTCATTTGTATATACGTACTCTCGGTCTTACTTTTCGTTCTCGCGTTATTCCCGTTGTTTACACTTGCTCCTACATATTACTATTTCCTGGTCGGGTTCTCCTATCTCAAACAATGGAGCGCTCGCCTCGTGGTAGATTAGTGCCGATGTTGCGATTAATTAAGTTTCTCTTCTTTATGCACGAGAAATAAATGATCTTGGAAGGAAGGTAAAACCGCTAATTGCAATTAGCCGGCAAAAGTTGGTCACTTTTGCGATGCCACTTCGAAATTGGAAAATGACTGATTGTGTTTTATCTTGATCATTTTAAGGCGCCCGTTGATTAATATTTGCGGATCTTTGAGAGCAGTTTTAAGTCGCTGAAGTTACACGAGTCACTTGCTTTTCGATGAAAATCGGCTTGGCCCGTGTTTGGCCAGCAATTATGTGATATCGACTGCATTGGAACTGCATGCCGAAATTATTGCTGCGCGATATACAGCTCGACATTGAATCGATACCGCCTGGTAATGGAATTGAATATTTAACTCGACGATATTGGTTTAGCATCGTCGATTGTCGTTTATTTGACACTGTTGGAGGCGCTGTAATATCGTCCAAAAGTCGGCGCTGTCATGTACACCGTGGCCCAGGTGTCCACCTGGCCCCATTGCGCAAAGTGCAAACATCACGGATGATCCCGGCTAAGTGATTACGTTACATTGCATGGACAAACACGGCGGAATAGAATGGAAAGGTACATTTTGCATTAAGGGTCGGATTTTACAGGGAAAAATCTATCCACAACGGCTATTATACACGTAATGCAGATTAGCTGTCAACATGTATCGATTTATTTATAAGTCGAGCTGCGCCGATTGCGATTTTAACGAGAGCCGTTTCCTCGTACGAGCAACAAGGCTGCTATATGCTCTGAATTATTCTATGTAATCAATCTTAACTATATATTCCTGGAATTATACAATTTCTATATTACTTCTATTACGCAAACTTATCTGCTATTATTATTCTTCGTACATCTTGTCCGTGCCCAGAATACACAAACAATAAAATTGATAAGTATTATTATTAAATAATTTACTTATAGGTCTGTATAACCTATTACTGAAGAAGAAATTATGTTACATTATTGTTACATTATACTATATTTTATCAGTTACACATTATTAGTTATACTATATATTATTATATATATAATAGTTATACTATATATTATTATATATATAATTAATTAGTTATCTTAAATTATCCTGTATAAATTTATATAATATAAATTATTTATCCTATATATATATATATATATATATATATATATATAATCCTATATTATAACAGTTATGAATTTATATCTAAACAAGGTGTCTGACAATTTGTTGCGCAGTCGCGGTGTACAGGTAGAATTTATTAAACTGAATATAAGATTCCTCTACTATTTCGCAAACAACCACCGTGTGCTTGTGTATTAGGTCAAACTGAATAAAAAATTTGCCTACTATTTTGCAAATAAGATTCTACATGATGGGTGTATTATTAATTGTCAGACATCTTATATAATTAATGACATCTATAATCATAAATATTTGATTTATCGTCTCTAAGCGATTCAAAGGGAGGAGGGTAGAGAGAACATTTCATACTTCTCTGATCAGAGAGGTATTTTAAATCTACCACTGCCACATCGCTAAAGATGCCGGCATAATATTGTTATAATTTTCTCTTTTTAGCTCTATACACAGGTGTATTTCTTAGAAGATTGAATCACGTTATATTCGCTGGGGACTGTTTTTAAATTAATCTCAGTTCTCCGTTTTGTTACAGTGCCAGACCACATAAGACCCCGTGTGCACAGTCTACCGGAAAAAGCGTACAATCCCAGGGCCAGCGATGATCTCTACAGACTCAGAGCGTTCAGCATCACTCACAAGGGAGTCGTGAATCGAGGTGATTCCATTATTTCTCGACGCAGCAGGAGTAACACCTCCGTCAACAGCAGCAGGTGAGCAGCAGCGTGATTACGCTCTATGATGCCCAACGCGCGACGGAATGTATTAATGTTACCGTTAAATTACTGCTGCTTTTACTTTATCACCTCGCGCTTTCTCTTCGCGTGACATTTAAGCTGCCCCAGAGCACGGTATTTACGTAGCTCGAGATATGCGAGCATATAACTTGCAATAGACGATTCCCGGATTCTATAATATTACGCTATAAGTCGCCGGAAGATACTGCTTGGAAATTTATCAGCATATAAAATGTATAGCCTTCGCGTGAGCACACGGTATGTTATTTTGTGGGAGAATAAGCATTATATCGGAATTATTATTATTTACGGTGTACGTCGCGCACAATGGATTTACTCTGTAGCTGTAATAGTTCGCAGCTTCCTCACATTTCGACGTTGTCATTAAATTCTCGAGGAAGTAAGATTTGACTGAATAATTATCTGAGAAAAAGAAATGAAGGATTTTGTAGAAATTTCTAAATACGAAGTTCCAAGTATTTTACTTCCAAATATTTGCCAATTGTTGTTGCTAAAAGAACATTTTTGTCGCGATTTGCCCGCATTTGAACGCAGATAGGAAAAACTAGAACTATTGTAAATTTAAAGCGTTCAAGTAATACTTTCGTTCTATGAATATTTTACTACTACGTTATAACGATCAGTGTTGGTGATTACTTGATTAAAATTGTTACTAATTCAAAGAGTTGGTGAATTAATAATTAAAATTAATCAATTGTCATATATATAATCATAAATAATTCAATCAATTGATCAATTAATTGTTAATTAATATACACAGAAAAATATAGTAAAAATTACAAAAATGTTTTTATAATTTTGGATTATACAGAAAGAATTATAATCCAAATTATCATATATTTATTTAAAAAATACAATGCACGTTTGATTTTTTACTACGAAATTATTATAATTATTTGAACATTTTTTATATCGTTGGATAAGTCATCAAATGTGCTACTTCTTTAGTAATTTATATTATAATTTCATTGTAGTTTATTTCTCTTTTTACAAGAAAAAAAAGGAAATATAATTTTAATGTAATTTTTATGAGAAAACAATTTCTCCATATATAAGCAATTGCATCCAAGTTTAATTAATAATTAATGTTATTAATGAGATTATTTATAATTTTATGGATGATGTTTGATTAATTTTGATTACTGATTCGCCAATTATTTTAGTCAAAGAAAATTTGTATCGATTTAAACCTGGCACTGACGATAATGACGATGTCATTTAGCGCTTTTGACGTAAGTATTTTCTATATCACGAAACATGTGACTGACTTTTAACGCGACGGACATATGTATACTTAAATTCGCCATATAAGTATCCTTTTGGATATAGGGAGACCCAAATGTTGACTCCAGAAATCGACTAAATATACTTCTCTCGTTTCTAGCGTCAATATTGATTCTGGGAGTTGGACGAAACGAAGCATCTCGTTGGCTTCGTATACTCCTTTTAACGAGGAGAAAGAAAAGAAAAAAACTCCGAAATGGAGAGCGAGAGAGAAACTGGTGTGGCGATATAAAAAAGAGTTCCAGAACGCTTACGGATGAGACCGATGAAAACATAGTAAATCTTAAAGATACGATGTTCTCTTCGAAATCTTGAAGAATATTTTTCTTTCAACATATTCTTCTCTTTCTCTAGTCGTCTCCTTTTCTCTTTTTCAATCCTTTTCTCACTCTCCCTCTCTCTTCGATCTTTCTTGTCTTCTCTTTCTTTCTGTTTGATGTTACCATTTAAGTACGCAATCTGAAGAAAAGTGAAAGGAAATTCTGCGCGAGTATATATTGGACGTCTAACTTTGTGAAACTTCGTTAGGCCGGCCCTATCCTTTTCTTTCATTATTTTAAAGAAGAGGGTGAATCAATGAAATTTCTCACGTTTCTTCTCACGTGATAAAAATAGTGCTAATCTATCTCGGAAAGCATAAAAAACATTTTGACTATCGCAGCTTCATTTTTATTTGCTCGGTAATATTTATTTGCATTATTTGCCGATAAAACTGCCGAAAAAAACCTATTATTTTATTAAATATATTACTGCAGATAATATCTATCAGTATTAACATATTACAATACATTATTACATATAGATTTTATAAGGAATTCGATAACGAAGCATTAATCTGCGCGATAAATTATTTGTATCGTGGTAAGAGTTTTAACGAAGTTGGAAATCGGAATAGATGAGTTTGCCTTATCTTTGGGAAGGTTCATCTTTTATTATATTCAATAAAATACTCGCTCCGCTTTATAGCGCGCGTATCCATTTATTTCTTACTCCCGAGCAGCAGTAACGACATTTCTCGCAATAAATCTCCGACGCTCAAATTTTAATGTCTTCTCACTTAGCAAATTAAACGGAGCGAGTAGCTTGAGTTCGAGAGCGAACCGCTTTACAAGGTTATGCAGAAATTGCACGTAAACGGAAAAAAAGATTTGCTAATACATGGACAAATAAAATTATTAACTGCAGGAGCAAATCTTCTTGCTTTCATAGCAAAGTTATTTAGTTATGATAGCTAAAAATTTTGCTAATGTACTACATATTAGCAAATCTTTTAGCTATCACTACTAAACTCCTGCAGTTAATATTTTTAGTTGTCCACATATTAGCAAATCTTTTTTTTTCCGTGTAGAGTCCCGTTTTTTATAGCTGGTTCATTTTTGTTTGCGAATTGCGAATCGCAGGTAAAAGTAGAATAATTTTCATAAATAAACTGCAACTGGAAAGGTCACGAGCGCGCGTCTCGCCAATTGTAAAAACCTTTTCACGCGAACTTTGTAATAATATAAATATGTCACGTGCAGAGGCCGTAGTTTTTCTTTCTAAGAGACATGAGTATTTAAAATATGCAAATACGATCCTCCGAGGAGAGGTTTACTGAGCTAACTCTTTTGTGCGCATCCTGTGTTCCATCAAATGAAAGTGTGTCGTCTTAACCAACTTCTCTTTTACAAAATTACAATCAGAATTAAGAATCGCATTAAGGTATAAAATATATATTTCATGTTTACTTTCTCATTATTGCTAATTTGCTATAAATTATTCACATAATATTCAGTTTTGGTAAAGTAACGAGAGTGAGAACATACTGAGAATATTATATCGGTTGCACACGTGAATAAATAATATTGTAATTGACAATATCAGTCGACAGATTTGGGGCGCTTGATTGATGACGAAGCAAAGTTTCTAAAAGTTGCTTTCAAAGAAGTGAAGTGTACTGATTTATATACTCACTTCTGTTATGTATCGGCTCGGAAACCAAGTTTTGTGTCAGGTTGTTCTTCGATGTGTGTGTGCACATACTGAAATTCATAAATGCCTTACTATTCCTCTTAGATCGAGTTATTAAACATTTTTTACTACGGGAATTCTTTTCTAAGTTTCACAATGTTTTTCCTCTTCTTCTTATTTTTATCATTATGGCATTATCTGGTTTTTTACCTATCGTCCATACGCCAATACATAATTTTTTGTTCAAAAATATATTCATTGAATCAAATTAATTTTTGCGTTAGTTATCTGTAACATGAACAAACAGTTTTTCTTATTGACGTAAATAAAGCGTCAAGCTGTTAAAAAAAATCAACTGCTTTGAAACATCCTTGCCGTTTGCTGATTAATCAACAATCATGATAAACATGTATCTAGAAACGAATATATCTGGTCGAAAATGTTCAATAATTCTTGATCTAGGCAATGGTAAGACATTTATAAATTCCAACAGATGAACTTGACGAAAATTTCTCGATAGAATGAGGTTTCTTAAAATCGATTTAGAATGTTGACTATATTATTTATTTATTTCATTATTCATTTATTCATTTACATATTTATTTATTTATTTATTTATTTACGAGAATGCAATCTTTTCTATATATAAAGTAGATAACATAGATGTGTTACAAATAGAATTAAAATGTAATTTTTATATAAAACATTTTTATAAAAAATATGCAAAGACCACATGAAGTAAAGATAATAATATGTTAATAATAAAGTGCACGAATAAACAACGGTGAATGCAATGGAACGCTTAAAATTTATCGACTTTGAGGAGAAATCACACGAATATAAACTGCGGCACGAATAATTAGTTATTCGCGTAATGGGGGAGATCAGCATTGTTTAAATTAGATTTATACACACACGAGACCGTTAAAGAGAAAGCGTACGTAACAATCTACAACGAGCATTAAAGTTTACTAAAGCAAATAAATACGAGTGGTGTGTATTGCCGACAATTATATTATATAAAAATGTTGTATTAAGGTATATATGTAATATTATATCATCAAGAATATTTTTTTATGCGTATCTGAAGCAAAATGCTTGTGTGGTTTATTTTTTAATCGAATATTTTCCTTTAAATATTTTTATTTTCCAATATAGTTAATATAAAATTTTATATTTTTGTTTCTTCTCCTTATTGTAAAAAGTGTGATTATTGCCCGTTATTTTCTCAATATTGGACTAACTCTGGTCGATATTACAAGTTCGTTCTTCTAAAAGTAAAAACCCATCTGAAAAGTAAATATCCTCATTTACGAAACCTAACGTCGTGATAAAATTTCGCGATTAAATGTCCGAAAGGAATGTAATCAACCCCTCATTTACAGTAATCTACTGCTATAACAGAAGGGCAGGGCTATCGTGTACACGAGGATGGATGTTTATCGTGGAGCAACATTTTAGTATATCGATAACTTTATGGGCGAATTTCACGATAAAAGTATCTCGATAGATGACCTTTACAAGAACGAGGTCGATGCTTTCTACGTGTTCTGTTTGCAATTACTGAAAATGTTTGTCATTTATTTCTGAGTGGGTTGATTAGTTTTATTAAGCGCGAGCGCTTAAATTACAAATGTTCTTGCACAATAAAAATACGTGCGAGAATGAATTGAGGCATTGCTTAATATATGACAAAAATTATATAAAATTTTAAAGTTGAT